GCATTTATCAGCATGTGCGTGGTCAAAGTCGGGAAGCATTTGGGAGGGAAATTGACCTCGAGTAATCCACCAGGAAAAAATCTAGTTGCAAAACTGCAGAATATCTCTCTCTGTACCAGAGAGGGAATGTCTGTTAAGATATGAAGAAAAACTTTAATAATCTACTCCCAGAAAATTCATAATGAGCATAGCTAGTTTCTCTATATTATATGGTCCTACAGTGATAAATCCCTTATTAATATTTAATGTTTATCCCTGTCAAGTAATGTTTAGTAATCCCCAGTCAAGAGGATTGACATTGAAAATAAGCTAGGCATCTCTTGAAAACAAATATATACCTGTTATGCTTCAGTTTTGTTTTTAAAACTAAGTATTGACAAGGTAGAGAAGAGATGTGTTCACATTCCTGATTGTTCTACAGATTGATGGCCTGGTATCATCCAGTGTAATGATAAGTGGTGTGAACACTGCTTATAATTTGAGGCGCATGGGTGTTGCAGAGAATCTAAATATCCCGAACAAGTGATACTGTCAATGTCTGGTTAGCACACAGCTTTTCTGAATATCTTGCAGGTGGATTTAGATGACTCTTGAATTGGCAGATTTTAAGTGCATTTCCCTTTGATTTGTGACAGTTTAACTTAAAACAATTCTATCTCGGCAGCCTGGACATAAATTCTTTGTAACCAAGCCCTCTGGTAGGCATTCAACCAACTCATTTATAACAGTGGTAAGCCAGGCAACTGGGAGGGATTAGAATATATCTCCTCCTGGTAGAAATTTATTATCATCTACCACAGCTGATCATCTCTTTTCACATTGAGTGGCACAGTTTTCTGTACTGCTCCGGTTTGACTATTCCTGGCATGTAATTTTGCAAGGGGGGGGGGGTTCTTCCTTTTCTAGTACACTTCCAATCAGTTGAAGTATCAAGGGCCCAGGGAAACATAAGGTCTCTGTATAGGTGGCTTCTGCATTAGCCAAAGTATTACATTGTCAACATCTTAAACTGCAGTGGCACAGAAAACTGGAAATCAAGATGTGTAAAGGGGCATGTTGTGGTATTGTACAGAGTTAGGCAGTTATAAGTAGACTGTAAACGGACCTGTATTAATGGTCCATCTGTTTTTGGACTGGAGCCCCAGTAAGATATGTGGAAGTGAATGTGACTGTGACACCTTTATCAGCCTGATGGCAGACACGACTAAATATGAAGTCACTTTATATTTATTAATGTCTGCCATTGTACGAAGAGGCCATGAAAAAGGAAATTAACTGTAGCTTAGTGGCCTATTAAAACTGATGATGTGTGTGGATGGAGTACTATGAAGCTTCGTGATCCACTGCATTTATAGTCATCTGCCCCTCGCAAGCACAGCGGCCTTTTAAAAATGCAGTGTTTTGAGAATGAAGTGGGTTGGATGCAGGAATAGAATGGACTGGCTAACTTGAAATAGCTGATGATACTTTCAGGAGTGTGTAAAATAAATGGAAAAAAATTTGTAATTACGTTAATGGACTGTAATGATAACCCCTGTACTAATGCATGACCAAAAGAATTGTATGAAACCAGACAGTTTCCACGAAGTTCATTATAGAATACAGACTAGCTGATATTGACCTGCCTGGTTTGTGAAATAAAAAATATCTTCTTTGTAGTTTAAAATATGTGTATGATACAGTAATAACATTCATCCTAGGAAATGTAATTGATTTATGTGGTACCTGGTTGTCTTAACTAGAGACCACGCAGATATTTGTAAAGATACCGCTCAATCAGCCTGCTTTCCCCCTGTTGCTCATTACCCTCTGTATGGCAGTTAACACAGCAACTAATCTTGGCTTGATGTGTCAGAAATGGACATTGATTTTCTTTAAAAAAAATGATGAAGTGGCGGCATAGAATGGGATGACTCTGGTCATAGATGATGCTGACCTCTATTGAGAGAATTAGACACTGATAGATTGAAAAGGGACATATAGGTTCAAGATAACATATTGTGGCTTAATATGATCATAAAAATTATTATTTGTCTTTAGACAATAACCATAGGATTTCAGACAGGGACCATCAGTTTAAAAGAAATTCATCTATTGATTGTTGGGGCTTCAGATAAGAAAAAATCACTGCTTTGTTTAGATATCTTGCTAAATTTAAATCTTACAAGTAGTCATTTGAAGGTAACTGTTTTCTTTGGAAAATTAAAAAGATAAAGTGTTTGCAGGTGTGATGTTAATTTTTTTTTTTGTTTTATTTGTTTATTTTTATTATTATTTATCATATTTTTTGTGCGTGTTACTTGATAGTTGACTGATGTCTTCCTGTTTGAAGCTTGTATTTGGATAATGGCAGTGTAGGGGTGCTATGTATGTGAAGGAATAGGTGTAAAAACCTGTCATGCAGCATGCGATCCACGCTCTCTTAGCTCAGCTTTCAATCATGTATCTTGTCGCTTTAATTGCGTAAATACACAGTTATGACACCAGGATATGCTTCACTGAGTAACATTTGAAAGAAACAGAACATTTCAATTTGCAGAGGATATTGACTTGATATTGAGGCAGCAGAATGGGATCTTAGATGTATTTATAAACAACAAATAGAAGGAACTCTATTTTACTTCTCTTAATGCAGCAGACGAAACACACTAAACGAGGTTTAAGTCACGTTTGATGTGCAGGAAAAGAAAGAACTACTTGGTAAACATAATAGAAGCGGACTTAAAAGTTTGAAGTAGATTGTTCAAGATGGTCAATTGAAAACTTTCAAAGATGTTAATTTGATTTGCAGGTAGATAAACATTCAGTTAGTCTGCTCTGTCTGTCATCAAAAATTGACAAGAACAAAAGATATAATGTAAGGTGCATTAGCAATAATACAGTGTATGTGTGTGTTTATAAATGACCATTATATATTTAAAAGAAAAATGGCATTTTGATTTGGAGTTCCTTCTTTTGCCCACCACATTGTAACTGTTGACATTTCTCTATTTCTACAGGAGCACAGTTTTAGAGGCAGAGTGCTGAGAAAAT